ATAAGCTAATAATTACTTATTTTTTATGTTAATGCATTTCTGCTTCTTCGGAAACTTTTCAATCTCTATACCAGAATTGCGTAGTGCGCATATCCTTGAATTTTTTGGAGTTCATATCTCTCGAAACTTTTAGAACCGGTATTGTGCCCCTCTCTGAAGTGCTGTTTACTATTAATACATGGTTCTTTATTTTTCCATAAATAACCAACCCTTCTTCACTGTTTTTCATTTGCTGATCTTCTGTAGAAACACAGGTATCCACAGACCCTCGTGTTCTGCATAATGTCTGACCAGCTACTGACTTCATAGTAACTGGTAGGGCATTAACTCCTCACGCTGGCCAGACGCTTTGGCGAGTGATACCTCCTCATCTCAGGCGTCACTGTTTCTAAACGTCCGAATCTGCCAGAGCCTATAGCATCATCTGCACATCTCTGTAGAACCTGTGTGGGGTGCTTGAAGTAGTAATTAGGAGAGTTTGCTAAATCGCATTCACCGTAAATTCTCTACCACAATATTGAGTGTGCATTGGAAGCCGTATATGCGATGTGGTACTTGAAAACGAGTTCAGCGGAATTCAAACAGTCTTGAAACGTAAATTCTATAAATGAGTGAATAAAACTTGTTAAGGACCATTTTCTTGAACAACTATGCATCCGCATAAGAATTTAAGCAGTGTTTCTAATGCTTCAATGTTGGTCAGTTTCTTGTCAGAAGTTACTCCTGATCAAGAGGCATGGTTATCAAAAGCGACGGCATCGATCGATTGTGACAGCAGCAGGTTGGAAGGTTGCTTTATCAGTTCAAATGTACTTTCCTTTCCGCACCCTAAGGAGAGAGAACAGAGCGACAAAAAATGAATGAATTTCCGTACCCCTCATATACCAATGAGAAAATGGCTAAAGATATAATGTTTGGTGCTAGATAGAGTGTAAGATGGGGCACTTTGATGGTACTAAAAATGGCAAGAAAGACTGCTTATGGTCATTCAGTCACTATACCTTAAAGAAGACCCGGGGACACGGATCGAAACATCAATTACTTGTCAATCATCTGATTGACCAATTGCTTGGGTTGTGTATAAATAAGCAGTTGTATGCTATTTTTGAAAGATTTGTGACAATGGCTGGTTCAGCGCTCAGGATGGATGCCTGCTGGCATTGTCAAGATGATTACAGGTCGAGAGGTCATCAGATCAGAACGTTACATTGAAATATACATGCATATCGGTCCTAGTGGCACAAAGACAGGAGGTCAGCTTCGAACATCGGATGTATTGGATTTCAATCTCGAGAAAGTCAAAATATTTTTTTACAGCTAATTCCCTTGAGCAAAAAATCGGTAAGTATTGCTTTGTGCAACGAGTCGAGAAACAAATGGCAAGTGCTGGCTTGTGAGTAACACGGACAGTCTCGTGTTCTGGTGTAGCCATGCATGAATGTGCGAAAGATATGACTACGCCCTCTAAGGCATATATCCCTTATGGCTGCAATTCCGCTTATCAGCCTGATAGCTGACAATCCAGGGTGATAATCTGCACAATGTTTAATCGTTGCGGTAACTGATAATATTTTGTCTTTATCAAGTGATGAGGCAAACTTGCAGCATCTTTCTTTATACGGAAGATTGATTGCGTGGTCTTTGTATTTCTTAGGGAATTGCTGTACATAAATTATTCAATCATTAACATTTATTATATAAATAATTAATGGTTCGAGCCATACTCTGCTCGTTGTTCAGATGTAATGAAAAAGGGGGATTTAATAATAGTCACATTGTCGAGATCAAATCGTAGCTCATAATGTGCCGACTAATCTGATATGCATACATTTATCTTTTGTTAGTTAAATTAACAGTTGTTTGATTGCGTCGAAACATCCGTTTCTCTATTCCTATAAACTGACTTGTGTATTCAGTATAAGGAATCAGGATGGTTGTAAAGCAACCGTAGAATTTAAGGGGCAGCGGCGTTAAGCGGTGCAGTGACGCAGACCGTGTCTACGGCAGTGATCATCTTCGAACTGACAGGGCAGATCACCTACAGGATCCCTATTTTGGTACGATTTTTTTTGTTTCACCGGAACTTCGGTGGCGGCGTCAATTCATTTTTGTTAAGCTAGGAGTCTCTCTGGCGAACGCGGTTTCAACCTGCCTTGAATTATCCGTCTACGACATGGGCATTAAAGTGAAGAACCTACCTTTCTTGCCGAACTTGCTTCCGATGTCTTCATCGTAAGTAATCGTTGGCGTTGATGTGCAATCCGCTATGGGTTAATGTATGCATGTTTCAAACACCAAGTCTGAATTTCACTATCCAGCCTTAATGGTTACTGTAAGCAGCAGAGACGCTCAGGTTCACTTCTCTGATTGTAGAACAAGTCGTAATGTTTTTGTTGAAGTTTGAATAATTCGATTAGCTTATTATGATCATAATCTCAGACGCGTATTCAAAAATTTACAATGTAAGTTGCAGATTTTGAAAGCTGCCTCCAATTGACTACCCGGAATAAACGCTCGAATAGCGCAACAGTTGGTCTACCTTCAGAGCTACACACCTGGCGACTGCCTTCACCTCACTTCATTTTACTTTCCATGCAAGCTTCGCCTTTAAGAGGGCAGACGCGTTACACAGTGTTTCCAACGTTCCCGATCCTGTGCCAGTGTCTGAGCATCGTCAGAAAGCAACCAGAATCGACAGCAGATTCATTCAATGCACTTGTACACGGTTAATCTTGATTCTTGACTTCCCCTAAGTTTTGTACTGGTCGGCTAGATAAGTATGATTTGCTTCGTCTTCCTTTCTGGACGCATTCCAAAGAAATGTCCTAACCATCGCAGCTGTGACTTTTCAATCTGAAGAAGTAACGCCTGTAAACAGAGTCTGTTTCGAATTTCTGTACGTCAGACGATGCCGAGACGGGTAAGGCCAGCGATTTGTCTAAGAAAGCCCATTTAAGCCGCTAGAAACTGGGATCAAAGTTATCAGTCAGGATTTGTGACTTATGAACGCGGATGTGCATGAGGATGAAGATCGACTAAGTCTTCACACTCACCTCTGCTTTAATCATAACCAATCGGACTAATTTATCAGAACGCCACTGACCACATCAATCGTTGGTTGATCTCATCCTTCCATTTTTAGAGTTGATTGTACTTCTAGACTTACTCCACTGCTTCCCCGCTTATCTGAATAGAACGACTGGCAGAAAAACGAGAAAGCACTAGGCTCTTGTTTCAGATGTGTTCACAAAGATGCCTGCACATCGCACGTAGATGAGTTTCCTTCCAGAGAGCGCTGCAGGTCAGTTTCAGAAGATGCCAGCAAAATGAGGTAGTTAACAAACGTCATCCTGCTCGTTTCTATATCTCCTACGCACATACACTCACTGTCCTAGCTGCACTTGACTATTCTATTGATTCACAATACAAAGAGGGGAGGGACAGAACGAGAAAGCATCAAGGTTGGAAGGTCTACAGTTAACTCTCAGGCACTCTGACGCAGCACAAGCAATCTGCATATTGTGATTGGATTGCCCGTTGCAAATGACAATCGATCCCATATGCTCATACGCATGCCCATAAAATGTCATGTGGAGTTCGGTCATAGGCTCTCTCTCGTTCCACAAAGCACATGCAAACCGTGTGTGTCAACTCCCATGATTTCTCAACGATCTCACGTGGGGAAAACAACTGGTCAGACGTGCTTCAACTAAATCACAAACTACACAGTGCTGTTCTTTATTTTTGAGCATAGCATATTAGCGTAGAAATGATCCGGAAGTTTCTATGAGGTAATGTTCCGATGATTGGAACACTCGTCATACTCTCCATTTTTGAACACGGCTACAACACTCCGTGCTCCGGTCCGTTGATGTCTTCCCCGTAATCATTACAGATACAAGCAAGCCTGTACATGCCCTGTTCGCTTGATTCTTTGAGCATTTCAGGGTGGATCTTCTGCCCTTCGGTGGCCTTTACCTCTTTCAGGCATTTCACAGCTTCCATGATTTCAACTAGAGAAATAGTAATATTCTTTCCCTGCTGCTGTACGGGCGAGTCGTCCTGCGGTTGCTCTGGTTTAAGCAGTTCTTCAAAGTACTCTTTCCATCGTCGAATCATGCCCTCATCCTCGGTAAGGTGATGTCCAAACGTTTCCTCCAGGGCTCTTAGACTATCGTTTGTTTTAATTCAGGGGAGACTGATGGTCTTCTATAATACCTTGTTTGCCGTCTGAAAAATCGACTCCAACAACTTTATACCGTTATTGTTGAGGTCGCATACCGTTATTTTTTCTAATCACGCCGTTCCATTCTTCAGCGTCTACTCTGACATGCGCATTCAAAACGCTCATCAGGACGAGGGTGTCCGTGTTCGGCACTTCATATAGAATACGTGCTACTTCCTCAAGGAAATACTCATACTCTCCCTCCAAATTGTACCAATGTCAACGCTTTAGCCTGCTGTAGCTTCAGTCGGAGGATTACCACCCTTCCGTTGACAGGCTTTCAATGATTCTATCTGCGAGGTTGGGTTCTACTAGAACACCAACACAGGCCTGAACGCGTGAGGTGATATGGGCACCTGAGGAGGATAGATCCCACCTGCTGAGGTTCAGGATTCCAGAGCCTTGTCATTTCGTTGACGAGAGTCCTACTATGTCTAGTTGGAACTTTGTAGGATCATCAATTAATTCCTGTTCTTTCCCTCTGATTGAGGATTCCATATTCCGACGTAAGCTCCCACTGGCGGAGCCTTTTCTGACGTGCTATAATGGCATCGCGCTGCCCGCCTCCTCTGTTCAGAACGGGTAGCAACTCCGTCGATGATTAGTTCGTCAGCCGTTGTCGTGCCGCTACTTTCCCTGGCTGGCAGAGGGCGATGTGCAAGTTCTGATTCCCGACTTTTCGCAGCCTGCCTCAGTTCCCTAACGGCCTTGTAGGCACCTGGTAGCTCGAGCTACGACTAGGCTGATACAACTTTCGACGTAGGCATTACCATGAGGGACAGGTGACTACGTTTTACGGTCTCCAACCCTCCTCCTTTCTCGTCTGAGCTTGGGATCGACAAAGGAGTAGTTGTGGCACCTACTTTTCTTTCTTAAGGAAAGGCACTGATACCTTGCGACTGCGCTTTACAGGCATTTTTCTTTCCAGGGTTCACAACATTCGGGTGCGAGATTTCATGGTTCGTGCGATAGAGCACATATCAATGCAGTCAACGTACGCGGAGATACAAAACCTTCTTGTAGAAAGCCATGGCGTTCGGGTTTTCCCGATTGTTGACGATGAAGGTACATCACTCACTAGTGTCACAGTTTGTTTTTTGTTGTTTTTCATTGCCATCTTCAATGCAGTAAGGCAACGAGCGCCAGTCACTCTAGATTAATGGTCTGATATTCCTCAGAAGGAGGATGTCATTCCTCAAAGGCCGTATTTTGAGCACTAACTAATGCATCAAGTGACATGCTCCTTATCATTAGCAAATCTGCTTCTTGTTGGTTTGTCAGCCTTTAAGGCGATCGTATCTTCACCTATGACCCAAAATCGGCTCCCGTAGAAAGAAAATTCTCGTCACGTCTTAAATTTTCTGAGCCGTTTGATGGAACAGCTCTAACCACTGTCTCTTTGGTTTTTCAGAAAGCATTTTCTGTCCAATAGTATTAAGTAGATGATCTTTTGTTACTCGTTGATGTCACTTGGTTCTGAGGACGTTGCCGAGGCAGCATGATTTGCAGCACTGAGGTAGTCTTCAGAGCTGCATTTGTTTCAAAGGCAGTGAAACAGAACGGAGAAGACTGTTGTGTTCAAGGTGGTAACCTTAGTTTTCGTCGTTATCGACCTGCCGTTCTAAATTCAATACAGATTTTCAAATTTCGCTGCTGCGAGTTCTAAGGGCCTCCTGGATCGTAGCCTCCGTCTTTGGTGATGACCGACCTTTAATGCTTGGAATGATCGACTACCTTCACTATGGTACCGTTCTACCTCAACCCAGCGTAGTTTGTCACCACTGCTGCCCTTATTTACTTTTGGTTCCGTTAGGTTGACCCAGATTTTCGCCTTTCTTGTTGCACAACTAAAGGTGAAGGTTCCCACCATTACATCCACTCCGTTAAGCTTGGTAATACCCGTCGACCAGAAACTATTTTGCTGGTAGCATGGACCAAAAGCTTTGCTTCTGCTGTAGAAAACAAGATCAACTTCCAAAACTTTTTCCCAATCTCTTGCCATAAAGAAAGTTAATGATATACAAGGTTAAACGACGGTATTTCTCAATCTTTATATCAACTGTATTATTTCTTCATTGTATTAATAACCGTGTTTTATACTGCGTTATAATATGACCACCAACGCACCAATGACATTTTCTATTCTCGTTATAGCACAGGTGAATAATCCTCAAATTCCTAATGTCAGTTCAATCTTCAGTTGTAAAGTATTTGTGAATTGAGTTCCTAAAATGACAGTTAAGTTAACTATCTTTATCTTCATCTTCAATGGCCGCTTCTCCTTTCGGGTGGCAGAGGCAGACGCATCAAACAGTACTTCCAACGTTCTCGATCCTGTGTCAGAGTCTGAGCTTCGGCAAAAGACAAATGCAGTCTGGAACAGACTCCTTCCATATATTTGCAGCAGGTTAGTCTTGGCTGTCCCCTGGGCCTTCTGCCGGTCGGTTTGGCAAGAAACAGTTGCTCAGCCTTCCTTTCTGGAGGCATTTGCAACACATGCCCAAGCCATCTAATAATTTCTTCATCTAATTTGCCTTATTGTGTGGTTCAAGTAAACGCAGGTCGAATCGAAATTTCTCGAGTCCTCTCTCTTGAACGTTTGTGGCCATAGTCCATCCAGGCATCATCCCTCATGATTTAATGTTGAACGTTTTTACTCAGCATTCGTCCTGCTCAATGGATTGTGAGAAGTGGAACACTTTGTATCGTTTTTGGTCACGGACGATAGATGTAATTGACGAGTAACGAGCAACACCATCGTCTCGATCTACCTGGGCGGAAGCCTGACCCTTTCCAGGATCTCGCTTTAGCAGGAGGACCAAAATTACTGTCGGCTGATATCTACTCAACCACGATAAAATTCTTGTGTACTTATCCTTGATTGTATCTGTTTGTGTGTGTGCCTGAAACAATTAACCATAGTTCATGCACTATCTGAAATCGAAATGAATATATTAACATATTTAGAATCCCTCACGTTGCTTGGGTCTATCTCACGGCGACAACTCGAAGCTGATCTCGAAAACAAAGTTGGTATCAAGGCACGAAAGCTGGAAGCGAGGCGCCGAAAGTTCGAAAGAAAAACGATTTGTATTGGCCTTGACCATGGAAAGAAACATCATTCGGCCAACGAACTCACAGAGCCTTCTCTGGATCATACCTTAAATATACAGGTGAGTGACATTTACTCTTTAGCATCTTAAGAAAATCCTAAGGTTGTAGGTTTGTTTAATGACTAACAGGGTAAACAGGTCATTATTGAACACCCGGACTTAATATTGCCGTTGCCCTCCCAGAAACACGTCTCCACTATTTCATGTATTTTCCTTGGATAAGATTAATAGAGGCGCATTGGGCACCTTCATCACTATTGGAAGATGAAGTCCAGTCTGTACAGCACGCTATTTCTGAAGGCCTGTTGTGAGAGTTCAACCTAGCGTAACTCATGTCCAGAATGCTACTGTGGTGGTAATTCATTAGCATAAAAATCTGGACATTCAAATATAAAACTGCAAGTCACATTCCCCACACATGTGACAGAAGAACTGCATCTTTTTTGCGTTTCGAAGATTGGCTGCAATGTCAGGATCTGAACAAGCCAATCTTGTAGATTTACTGTATTTCTTGAAACGTCTCCACCGCAGGTACACACGGTTTTATCATTCTAACAAGTGGCTGGCGTCTGATATTCTTTTTTATGTCTGTGAGAGGACCAGTCTACATGTGAGTTCGACGGAACTTTGGAAAGTAGTGACCCCTGCTCGTTTGGAGGACGCTCCTCCAATCGTCACATGAACTGACTGAAAAACTTTATAGCCGTGAATGCAGCTCACTTGCCATTCTTGGCGCCGGAATGCCATTCGGCCAGTTGACAATGTGCGGTTATAACATCGACAAATTAAACAACAAATGGATACACATCGTGGGTACAGTATGAATCGAATGTGTAACGAACTTTAGGACAGAAAACGTATCAGCGACTAATTAGTTCAAAAAATTAATGAAACAATGGATGGTGCCAATATATTACCCCCTAACTTTTTCACTGGTAATTTTGTTTGTTTTACACTGCATACAGTAGCGGTGTGCAGCATTGATATGATATTTTCTGAACAATTATCCACGCTCTCTGAAGATTGATATAATTTTTTGACTCCTTTGACACCACTGAATTTGTGAGATTCTCATTACGAATTACATCTACAGAAGAATCAAACAATCCCACAATAGCAATAAATAGCACCAACTAATGAGCACCAGATACCTGCAAATGACGATAAAAAATTAACATCGGGAAGGAGGCAAAGAATTAGGATTTATCAGATAAAAAATTAATCCATCTCTTTTTCGTCAAATGATTAATTTCATGTAGCATTGTTCAAGGGCTCAAAATTCATATTTTACAAAGCAGGATGTCTGGCCCTGTTATCTTTATGCTAAAAAGTCGCAGCATATCTGACTGCAGCTTATGATCTAATGAAATTGCGCACTTGTAGGAGTGTTGCATCGGTGTAACGGACAGAGTTCCGGATGCAGAGCACAGTCGTACGAGAAACGGTGGATTCTTCGCCTGGTTTTACATGCCGACTAAGCTGAAATGTATCGCCTATCAAGTATTATTTCTTTTTATTATTTATGAATATTTAGCTGACAAAACTCACGTCCGGAAATGGCTACGTTTAGGCTATGAGCACAAAGTGAGTATGCTCAATTTATTTTTATGGTATTTCTGAAAATATGCAGATACATGCTTCTGGCAAACGAAATTGCCTATTAACGGAACTGGTTATTATATAACGCGTATCGGTTTGTGAATATCATTGGAGGTGAACAAAGTGCTGCTCTAATACAGTGATGTACAGAAGGAATGCATTTCTCCACAATTGTGACAAACGGAAAATCTTGTCGCCAAGTGATACTAAATATTATAACATTGGGACTTAATATAAACCAAAAATTACAGAGACGCGTTATAGTATTGTTAAATTATCAAAAAGTGGAATTTTATTCGCATGGCAACAAAGGCATCAGACCCCAGCGGTATTTTTATGCCAGCGATTTAAATGACAGCACTGAAAAATTTCATGAAGCTTTCTCTCTAATTAATTAGATAAATCCTTAAATTCAAATATAAAATTGTACTATGATACTTGGCAGTTCATTTTATCAAACAGCCCACTGATGTTTAGCAAACAGTCACTAAGTACGCATCTCAGCTCCGCCGCAAAATTCTCTTTCCGGATCTGAGATGCACAGCTTAATTTTACTAATGTTCGTCATATTGACAATCCTCCAGTCGTTTACTCCGCATAAATGTATCATACAGAATGCTCAATGCTTTGGATCATAAAAAATCCATATTAATAAACCATATCGCAGTAACGGTTTACTGAAGAGAGTTAAATGAATCACAGAGGCACAGTAGTAAGAGTCGGCTTTCAAAACCTCGAGGTGCCGGGATCGAATCACAAATGACGAAAGAATTTATTTTGACAGGTAGTTCCCTTGACCAAAGAAACTCATCTCACCTTACTTCTAAGACAGCCGAATAACGAATAAAAATTTGGTAACATTCGATCAGGTGGCACGATCAGATATTCCGGTATAATCGTATCAGTGCATTGTATGTATTAAAATGGAGCCATGGGACCGTGGCCTGCTTAAACGGTCCCTTAGGCTACCAAAGGCAGGGAAACGGTGCGTTACACTGTATAAATCTGAAGAAGTAACAGGAGAATGATATTCCTACCGGCGATATTGAAAACTACCAATTTGCCAGCAAGCCTATAATAACGGGATTTAATTTTGGCTAATTTAATCTTTACGCTTAAATATATATCCGCATACAGGTGACACGTGGAGAGTCAGATATGGTTCAACCTTGTTTGTCTTATCTGCCTATTTTTCCATACTTCTAGACTAGTGGTAAATTTTCACCACTGTGTCCATTTATGCGTTTGCATACCTGTATAAAGAACGCCTTTGTTGTCAAATTCCATTGACGCTTTCCGCGCTACCGCAGTTCCATACTTCCCAACGAATGGGTCGATTTTCTTTCACCGGCTACTCTACCAGCACTAAGTACAAACATTAAATTACAAATCATAAACAATACGCATTTGGCTGCATTATGACGAATTTAATATTTTACACTACAGCCAGCTTGTTACTGGATAGCAATTCGTCTTTCTTCAATAATTAGTCATCAGCCGTTTTACTATATTTAATACGTCTATTTCGTTTTCTAAAATGGCATGTGTCTTTTGAGAGATTTGCTATTTGTTTCAACTTAAAGTATGGCAAATCATCAATCACGATGTTTCTCAACAAATCGCTTTTTGCTATACAAAAGCATAATAGAATAATTTATTAATGCGTTGGTTTCATAAGGAAACTGGAAAATGCGCAAAAACGGTTTATTTATACTCAGCGCAAACAAATAAGTTTGCTAATCGAATGACTGAACTGTACCGACGTTTCGGACATTGTCTCACGAGCCTTCTACAGGATGGTCCGGGTTCGTTTCTGCGATGGGTCATGTGGTCCGCAGCTGCTGTGACACCTGTTGCTGAAGGCGTGCTTTCGACCCATGCTGCCGTTTGTGTAGTTTCTCGGTAACCGGTTTGGAAAAGGCTTGTCCAATCCGCGCAGGGTTAGTACCGATTGTCTTGGTTGTCATTCTTGCGTGATTGGATGATTAGCGCTTCTTTGATTCGTCTGTTCAATCCGTGCAACTACCGGGAGACGTGACTTTTTTTTCGCTGCGTGTTGCACGATCACCGAGGACTTTTGCAGTGTCCTTTGACTTTGTAAGGGGGGATTTATTTTTTTCTTGGACGCCTTGTTGCAGCTTGTCGTTCGCGTTCATCTGCGGTCATCCATCTACAGCAGTTTGACAGGTGGTCTTTTGTTCTTTAGGTGACGATATTTCCGGTTTAATAAGGTAGTTTGTAAATCTTGCCTAAGGAAGAGTTAGTTAATAAAGTATTAAGCTTCTGTATGT